AACGCCATGCAAACAAAACACGGTATTGCTTATATTCAATCAACTTTAAGTAACACTATAATTACCATAACAGATTCTTTTGGAGATACCAAATCTTGGTCCTCTTCTGGTTCAGTGGGATTTAAAGGATCTCGTCGTTCAACCAATTATGCTGCTCAAGCTACTGCTGAGAATGTAGCGCGTGCTGCTATTCCATTAGGAATTAAGTCAGTTGAAGTGAGAATCAAAGGTTTAGGTTATGGAAAGCCTTCGGCCTTACGTGGTTTACAATTAGGAGGTCTTATTATAACCAAGATTAGCGATGTAACTCCAACGCCACTAACAACCACTTGTGTTTCAATTTCTTCAGGTCTGYGTTTCATAGCTTTTTATGAGGTTGCACTGGGAGCCAGTGCTTGTTATATCAAATTCGCACCATGGATTTTGTCAGAAATGTTTGATGCTTCTTGGGGTTTTCTGTTTGATACTCTGACTGTGGTTATCAAATTCGCAGCATGGATTTTGTCAGAAATGTTTGATGCTTCTTGGGGTTTTCTGTTTGATACTCTGACTGTGTATATAACGTGCGTGTTTTTGGTAATCTAAGAGCTCGTGTCTTTCTCTGAATTTCAAAAGATTTGATAACGATCGCTAATTTTTCAGTCATTTGTTCAAGTGTGTTTTTGATCGAGAGCTTATCTGTTCTGCCGAACGAAGAAAAACGCCTTAGAGTTGGAAGTTCCAAATTCATTGGTCAATCAGCAGGCTCGCCATAGTTTGATCGAAGACGAAACTTCGTAGTAATAAAATAAATACGCGCAGCTAACTAAATGCCATAAAGGCTGCGCGTACCAAGTTCACCCAGGCCAATTTGGCATGTGGTTTACCCGCTTGATCACAAAATCCAGATCTACTCAGGTTTTTTATTATATCAGAGATAGGTGCTTCCATTGTAATATTGGTTTTCGTTCGGTCAGGAAAGAGACAGCGTTTTCCTATGTATTGCGTTGAATAAGAGCACACATACCAGGGCTCGAAGAGCGGGAACCAGGCCACGAAGTGGCAACAGCACCTGAAGTGCAATCTGCATTCTCGTCCAACCTGACAGTTGGAATCCCATTTCGGGATGAGAGCATTTGGTGGAACCGGTGAACCATTCAGGTCGAATGGGACAGAGGGCTCGTAGTACAATCTCGATTGAAAAGCAAGTTGTTGTTATTTATGCGGCTGTCAAAGGTTATTTAGATCAAATTCAGATTTCTCAATTTCTTAAATATGAACAAGAGTTGTTGAAATCAATTGATCCAAGTTTGCTTTCTGCTATTGCACAACAAAAAATAATCACTGAACAAATCGATAGTCAACTGGCTAACTTTTGTCAAAAATTTACTCAGAGTTTCTTAGCAACTCACTCGGGTTAATTCACCATTTTTCTATATCTTTGTGACTGTTTTGGGTGGGGTAATTGAGAAGCTGGCTCACTATGAAGAAAGGGCTATCATTAGTTTGTTAGGTGCTGACCTCTGTGTGTGTGTGTGTGTGTGATCATACGGCGTGTAGGTGCTGGATGTAGATCTGAATTGGCGGATGCATAAAGTGTCAGATGGGCAGCGGAGGCGTGTGCAGATTTGTATGGGCTTGCTCAGACCCTTCAAGGTGAGGAAGTGAAGCGCCACCCACAATTGGCATGGGCAAATTCTGTGTGACTTGTGTTCCCACTGGCAGTAACATCTTCCATCGAATGTATCCTGACTGCAAGACCATATGCGTGCAACCAGTTTGCATATACATTTGTCTAGTGTCGCATGCACCGTATTTGGTACTTGTAAAGATTCTACTTGCACAATTGAAGAGCTACTTGCCTTCCGGCGTAGAGAACAACAATCCGCGTTCTACTGTCTTCCCCTGAGTACAACGCTCGGTCGTTATAGCCGTATTTGTGTCAGCTTTCAGTCTACATACAGCTGTGATGACCGGGGGATTCTGTTCGGGGACATACATGTTGGTTGTATATTGCCCTCTCAAGCGCTGATAAATTTGCCCTTTCTTTCTTCCTTTCTTTCGTTCTTTCCTTTTTTATATTTGCCCTTTCGACCTTTGGCTCGCTGAGTCAGTGTGTTGGGACATAGATGTTGGTTGTATGTTGCCCTCTCCAGGGCTGATAAATTTTCCCTTTCTTTCTTTCTTTCGACCTTTCTTTCAACCTTTCTTTCTTTCGACCTTTCTTTCTTTCGACCTTTCTTTCTTTCTTTCGACCTTTCTTTCTTTCGACCTTTCTTTCTTTCTTTCGACCTTTCTTTCTTTCTTTCTTTCGACCTTTCTTTCTTTCTTTCTTTCGAACTTTCTTTCTTTCTTTCTTTCGACCTTTCTTTCTTTCTTTCTTTCGACCTTTCGACCTTTCTTTCGACCTTTCGACCTTTCTTTCGACCTTTCGACCTTTCTTTCTTTCGACCTTTCAACCTTTCTTTCTTTCAACCTTTCTTTCTTTTGACCTTTCTTTCTTTCAACCTTTCTTTCGACCTTTCTTTCGACCTTTCTTTCGACCTTTCGACCTTTCGACCTTTCTTTCTTTCTTTCTTTTTTTCTTTCTTTTTTTCTTTTTTTCTTTCTTTTTTTTCTTTTCTTTCTTTCTTTCTTTCTTTCTTTCTTTCTTTCTTTCTTTCTTTCTTTCTTTCCTTCTTTCTTTCTTTCGACCTTTCGACCTTTCTTTCGACCCTTCTTTCGACCTTTCGACCTTCCTTCCTTCCTTTCTTTCTTTCTTTCTTTCTTTCTTTCTTTCTTTCGACCTTTGGCTCGCAGAGCAGTTCTCTGTGACAAAAAATATACACGACTTCATTAGCTCCCTGCAGTCGTGCAGCCGGCAGGTTTCGTGTGGCAGTGGTCAGGGCCGTCACTATATGGCCATGCTGTGCCTTCAGTGCCAGTGGAGGCTCTGGAGTGTGTTTTCTGGCTGTAGCAGACCGTTCTTTGTTTTCTGGGGGCTTTGCTGGAATTTTGATGGGGTGCGAGTATAGTCTGTCGAGTCTTCCGCCTGCTGTGAGTGGGTTATAGTCTGCTTTGATTTGTTGTCATTCATACCCTTAACGGCAGGGATTGGTGGACCACCTGAGAACTGGGGTTAGATCACCAGTACGTGTTCCAGCTATTTTGTTACAAAGCGGTCGTTAACCCGCCATATATGAGGGGGCTCAGTCTACCGGACAAGAAGGGCCGGTGTCGCCAGGCAAATCGTGCATCACGCCGGTTCGGCGGGAATTGGGGCGCAACAAATATCCTTGTCCGGGAAAAGAGGCTCGGACGGACTGTTGGTCTGTTGGTTTAAAACCGCCAGTACACGGCCCCAACCTTGCTGAAAAGAAAACTCGTCATCACCCATCCAAAAAAATCGGCGCCGGCGCGCCGTCGATAACAGAAACCGGCGGCCGGCGTCGCGTTTCGTCCCTCTGACACGGCCTCGCGGCCAATGTGAGGCATGTACCGGTGGTTTAATCTGGTTTAATCTGGATGATCGCGTACGGTATCATCCGACGAAACAGTCTGTGACAGCCCGCCGTATCTTGTCCTTGACTCACTTTCTGGCCGATGCATGGTTCACTGATGAAACCGTTACGTGTCGGGTGTCGGTCTGCTGCGATCTGACGCTCTTGTCATAGGCATGTAGGCACAGCCTGCTGTGTATGGCTCTAGTTTGGTTGGCAGGGTTGCAGGGTACAAGCTAAGGCAGTCAACATGTGATTGAAAGCTATACACCTGGTCCGTGTAATCTGTTCCATGGATTGGCGTCACGTCCAAATGTTCATGATGGCTGAGAAGCTGGCTTTGCTGGTGCTGTATGTGGACATCGGCCGCAGCACAGACCTAAGAGCCTGAGGACCTCGAACTGTGCATTTGGTAACTTAACTTTTTAAAGGTTTTTAAAACTTTGAACTTTTTTTTTTTTTTTTGGCTTATTCTTTTTGGCCCCTTCTTCTTAAAGGGTGACGGCCTTGAGATATCATCGTCGAACTGATCCACCCTAGGTAATTCAGAATTGTAGTGTAGTTCACTCATCTGCTTCCAGTGGAGTTCGAACTCAGCACCTGGTCTGTATTTGAAATTGAACAGTACAGGGGGTGTACCAAATCTGGCCGGAAATATAGTTTGTATACATTCATTTTTAGGGTGCGTTATGTTCGGGGGAAGATGGCAGTTGGCATGTGCTTCTGGTAACTTACATAAAAAAAAAAAAGTTAAAAAAACCTTTAAAAAGTTAAGTTTCCAAATGCACAGTTCGAGGTCCGCAGGCTCTTAGGTCTGTGCTGCGGCAGAGTGAGAGGTTGGCTGTGAGATAGAACTCCTTGAGAT